CCCCCCCCCCCCCGACGCCCGTTTTTTCGATCGCCGTTTGCTCGAGCGAATCTTCGAACGAGGTTCCTAGTCGCGGAACGTTTCGGATCTACGTCCAGCCCGCCGCGTCCGTTCGCGGCATCGATAGGACGTTATGGTCGGGAGCCGGCGGAATTTTCGACGCTCGTTACAGCGGGAACGGCGCTCGAAGACGCGCCGGAAACGAGCCGATACAACCGGCACGAAACATTTACGAGGGCCATTCGATCGCGAGCGGAACGAGCCTTAGCTACCGAATCGATTGTTACAGGACCGGGGGCAGATATTGAGCTCGATTCCGCGCCGGTTGCATTTTCGCGGCGGACTTTTATTGCCGCGACACCGTCGCCTCGCTACGTGGCCCAATAATAAGGGGATCCCATATGCAGGGAACGGGCCCCGGTCCAAACACGCCACCGGGTTCCCGGTGCTGGATCAGCGGCGATATTGCAGCCGGCCGGAAACGGTCATTAGAAACGACGGCGAACCGTCTGCAAGAGCTTTGGTCACCGTGGACATCGTTTCCGAAACGGAAACATATTGGAAACGGCGCCTTCGCGGTTTTAACGTTTAGACCTCGCGCTCGGTGAGCTCTGCGAATTTTTTCGTCCGAGACTGACAGACGTATCGAATCAACGCCTTCCGTATCTGAAAGTGCATGTTTCGACGTAGTTGTCAAAAATGTTTCAATGGAAAATGTTGATAATTGGTGAGAATAGAGGCGATACACGGAAGTGCCATTTTCGAAGCTACGGGAGAATTTTGGCGACGTTTAAGAATTTTTTTCCAGAGAACTGGTGCACTTTTTCGATCGGGGATTTTTGCGTTTGGAAGAGTACATTTTTAAGTGATCGCTGGTAAATTTTCAATGAGAATTATTGAGAATTGGTAAAAATACGTAGAAAGTACCTTCCGCAGCTGTGGTCGCAAAGAGAATATTTAAATCGCCTCGATGGTCGATCTTCGCGAATTTTTTTCCCAGAGAACTAGTCGACCTTTTAAAACAGGACTTTTTGCATTCGAAAGAGCACGTTGTAGAGCAGATATCGAAGAATTCTCGGTGAAAGATATTTTTGACAATAGGCAAAGATACGAGCCAGCGTCTGTAGCAGCGATTTTTCGACGGGTTTCGCTTTAAAGCTGGATAGCACGGTCGAATCCTCTTTAAACGGGCACGTCACTGCAACACCAATTATAGAATTGATTCAATTACATTCGATTAAACCGCATGCCGAATTTGGTTTGCTTTTCAGGCCAGATTTCGGAATACCTCCTGACGCAATTTTGCGGAGATTTGCATTTTAATGGACCGATTTGAAGAAACCGAGTTTAAATCAAATTCGATCCTCGTCGCGACTCTGCCGCCGGCGAATTAAAAGCTAAAAACGAGGCTCCGTTAAATATTTCTGGCACTCGAATCGCGCCATTTTATTTTCATTTTTCTTTTTTTTTCAAAGACATTCGCACGGAACGGATTCAATGGCATTCAACGGAGAGTGCTGCCAGTGTCAGCCGCGGCGAGAAAAGCTTAATCATCTCAATAAATCCGGTCTAGTCACTCACGATTTATTAAATGAACAGTTTCGGTGCCGCGGGATTTTTACGGTGCTCGTTCCGCTCTTTAGAAACTCGAATGGCTCCTTCACTTAATTCCCCCCTCCTCCCCCACCTCATTTTTTTCCACCGAACTCCATAACGCCGCGAGCGTCAAGATCCGAGCTCGTCCGATCGCAAAACCGATTACGAGGAAGAGAATGATCCCCGATCGCCGGTAACGGCGCAGCGCGTGTAAAAAAAAAAGAAGAAGAAGAAGCACCGTAGAGTCTGTAAATGACAACCGCTAATTTATGGTATACCTAAATAGGCTAGCAAAAGCGAACGCTCCTCCTGTATCGGACCATTAGGTGTTTGTTAAAGTTCAGAGCTAAATTTAAAGAGCGTTTCAGGCGTCGCGGGAGGCTCGAGTGTATAGATATAACTGTAGATTGTTAATAACGTTGTAACAAAGACGAAGAGGCGAGGCTGGGGGAAACTGTACTGTCCCTTTGGACGAGACAAGACGGCGAGCGTCTCTCGCGCGCGGTTCTCTCGTTTCGCTTCGCTCGTTCCTTGCCGTCAAATCGACACTGAGACGGAAGATCGATGCGCAAATTCCTCCTTTGCCTTGCAACGTCGTTCAAAATATACTACTTCGTTTCAAGGCCCGATGCTCTGCTCACGCAACAGTAGGATAATCAATTAATTCGAACCGATTTAACGCTAGGTTCGCGTCGAAACGACGGGTCACTAATTTCTTAATTTACGATTATTCAGTCTGTGCGCGTAAAGACGAATTTACGAGTTATTTATTCAATATGTGTCACTCGCGGCAAATATTACGATAACACTTGTTAAAAATCAGAATAAATGTGCTGTCGTTACTTTTATAAATTAATATACAGAGTGTCCCAAAAAGGTCTAGCAATCCGGAAATGGCGGGTTCCTCGGATCATTTGAAGCAACTTTTTCCTTTACAAAAATTTTCTCCGAGGCACCGTTAACGAGTTATTAACGAAAAACAGTGACCAATAAGAATCGAGTACGGCTGACGCGAGACGGCCCAGCCAACAGCGCCAGCTGAGATGGGATTCGACCGCTCGACCGCTGGCGCCGTTGGCTCTGCCGCCTCGCGCCAGCTGAGCTGGCATTCGACCGCTCGACGGTTCCGCTCATTGGCTCGGTCGTCTCGCGCCAGCCGAGCTCGCCTCTCATTGGTCACTGTTTTTCGTTAATAACTCGTTAACGGTGCCTCGGAGAAAATTTTTGTAAAG